CGCCAAAGAATTTCAAATTTTTTCGCAATGCAGAATAGATTCAATTTGCATATGGTGTCTTTTTACATCAAAATGATTAAAAATAAGCCACGTCACTATCTGTTTCATAAAATTTCCCTTAGAGCAAATGTCCGTGGGCTTAATCTGCGTAATACGGAATTGTTGCTTCACTAGGGTTTAAATTTAGTTTTCTCAGCAACAGTAACGTCTCGCAATACTTGTTCATTTTTGTTCAGCTTTTCCTATTCTTCACCTTTTATTCCTTTTGGTATTTATTGTTTATTTACGTGCTATATAAGGCTTATTCCTTAACAGAATCTAGGTTGCTGTATGTTTTCCTAATTTACTTACACTAATGTATATCTATTGTAATTTTTCATGCATTTAGCAATAAACGTTATTATTATTATTATTATTACATGGAGAATATCCATGGATGATCCATTTTGCAATTAAAATAAAAACTTTTGGCCAATAAACAAAACACGAAACGACTATAGCATAACCTTAAATACAAAAGTAATAGGTGTTGTTCTAGTCCGTTGTATACTGTTAATGACAAATAAAATCTGATTTTTGTGAAGATACAAATACATAAAATATGTAAATCGAATAGAAAATCAGGTCGTGTAAACGCACTTTTCTAAAAATATTTATATTTACCGTATAAATTCTACCCAAAAAGTTTCTTTGCAAATGTGTCCGTTGGAAGGCAAACTTTTCCATGGCGAAGATGCTACAGTACGGCGAAAAACAACTCGATTTTCGCGCTTAAACAGATTGCAACGTTGTAACTAATCTCAACCAAAACAATGGCGCTCGATCCTGAGGTCGCGCTTACGTAATACGCGATATGCTTTCATAGATAAATGGTTTTGACCCAGTGACTGGGCTAAAAAATTGTGGTAACCTAGAGTCATATAGGCCGGGCTAAAACGGTTATTTGAAAGAAAATAATCAGCAGGTATTTTGGGAATTATTTATTATTATTATTTATTATTACGGTATTAAGGCGTTGTTGTTTTGTTAAATATTTATTTAAATCATTTATCAACACATCACATAAACAAAATAGTAAAAAAAAACAAAATAAAACAAAACAAAAAAATTAATTTTAATATAGGAGTCGACACGACAGTAAGAACATATAACAGAGCATACTATACGTTTCTATACAAAGTATTAACGAATTTCTCATTTTCTATACCGAAAGAAAAAAGGCCACATCAGGTAACAAAGTAAGGAACGTAGGCTGACTTTTAATTTTTAGAGTCTCTTACCTTCTCAGAATTCCTTACCCTAATAATCTAATTACCGAGAACCTGGTCGTTCTGGTAATAAGCGGTTATGTTAATGCCTTTATCGGGATGTATAAAAGCACACAATGGTTTCAATCAGTTCTAATTTGACTTGAGTAACCGAAAAATGTCATCTCTAGATCATAAAGTGGCTTTAATTCGGGATATAGAACGGGAAGAAAAGAAAAGTGACGTCGATACCGGACTTACACCGTCGACTGTATCCACGATTTGGAAGTGTAAAGAAAAAAATCACTCAGGCTGAAGCGCAGGCAGTTCTAGTAAATAACTAAGAAAGCCAAAATTTGAATATTTGGATTGGGCAGTGTTGCAGTGGTTCCAACAGCAACGTCTTAAAACCTACCGTAAAACTAAAAGCAGAAAAGTTTGGTGAACAGCTTGGCATTATCGATTTCAAGGCTTCGGAAGGATGGTTGGGGAAGTTCAAACATTACGGACAGATAATTGGGAGAAAAGTACCCTGCTGACGACATTTTTAACGCTGACGAACCTGGTATTTTTTACAAAATGACGCCAGACAAAGCTCTTAAATTTGGACGCGGAAAGGGAGCGGGTGGAAAACTTTCTATAGAACGTATAACAGTGTTAGTACCTGCCAATATGAGTGGGAGAGAAAAAACCAAGCAAGTCGAGACGGGAAAATCAACTAACTCACTATATTTTAAGGTCAAGCGTTTGCCGGTCACTTACAAGGCAAACAAGTCGGCACGGATGACAGCGCAAATTTTTGAAGAGGAGATACGGAAATGGGATGCAAAATTAAAGGGGAGGAAAATATTACTTCTCTTAGATAACTGATTAACTAACAAAACAGCAAGGGTATTCCAGCCGTTGGACCAGAGCGTAATAAAAAGTCTTAAGAGTCGATACTAGAAACACATTTTAAAGGAAATGATCGAGTCCGAAGACAAATTGTCCATTAATATGGTAGATGCAGTCAACTTTATTAGTAAATCTTGGAAAGAGGTGACAGCAGAAACAATTCAACACTCCTTTCGTCATGCAGGACTTATTACCGAGACAGAATGGGAACATAACTTGGAAGATGATCAGCCACTTAAGCGAGTGGATTAAGCAGTTTCAAATAACAATTGCGTTTACAAGTCAGGAGTTGCAAGGAAGCCATATTGCAACAAGCAAGGAAGGGTGAGGAAGAGCACTAAGAGGAAGAAGAAGATGAAGAAGTTGATCTGGGACCAGCACCAAACATTCAACAAGCTCTATATTCAGTTAAGCTGCTAGAACATTTTTTTTATGTGTCATGGGGAAGATGCCCCTCTCGAAGGAATGGTGAAAATACAAAGTACAAAGTACGAGATGCGTATTGGCATACTAAAAAAATTAAAACTCCCTATAGCGAAACTTGCACCATATCTATTTATTTTGCGGCATATTGATTTGTATTGTATTTATATTTGTATGATCATTATCTTTTAACTTTTGATCTCTTAATGGAGAGATTGTTTTATAATACGACCGCGATCTCCGCTTCGTAAATGCCATTTGGTGAACAGGAGATCAAACACGTCACGACTATGGGCGGCTAAAAATAAGGATTCAAGTCGCAGTGCAAAATGGGTCGGAAATTCGCGTTGCACCTAATTGAGCTGTGTAAAATTGGCCCCGAGTCCCAATATACAGGGTGGCTTACTACTTGCAGTGCTAATGATTACAGAGTGTCTAATTTCCCTATTTTACTAAAATATCCGATAAGCAATTATTTCTTTCTACTTATTTTTCACTTCACAAATTACTTATATCTTATGGAATAATTGGTTGGGGTGCTGTCTATCATACAATTCTTCAGCCCCTTTACGTAATACAAAAAATTATATTTAAGTTACGAGGTTCACGCCAAAATTTCACGGCCTGACCTAGATGCAGCTCCTCGCACATTACTAAGCTTTCTGATATAGGTGTTCGTCGAATCCTGCATGATCATTTAGGTGTGCACAAGGTTAGCGCAAGATGGGTTCCTAAAAACCTTTCGGCTATTGAAAAACAACGCCGTGTCGAGTGTGCGCGGTCTTTTTTGGAACTCTGTGGGTCGGAACCCAAGCCTGTGATAGAAACTATTGTGACTGGAAATGAAACTATGGTTCTCTATGACCCTCTATCGAAAAAAGAATCAATGGAGGGGTGTCGTAAGGGTGAAGCACCTCCAAGAAAATTCAGAGCCTGCCAGTCAACAGAAAAGGTGATGGCCACGATCTTTTGGGATTTTGAAGGAATTCTTTTGATAGACTTTAAAGAAACTGATACCACAGTCAATGGTAAATATTACGCAACATTATTACATAAATTGCGAGACTGAAGTGCGTGTAAAACGTCAAGGAAAACTGACCAGAGGCGTGCGTCTTTTGCACGATAATGCACCTGTCCGTACTGCTGGTGTTGCACAAGCTGCCATTTTAGAATGTGACTTCCAACAGATATGGCCCCCAGAGACTATTATTTGTTTGGATATTTGAAAAAGGACTTACGTGGACAGCGGTTTAACGACGAAGTTGAGTTAAAAGAGGCTGTTTTAGCTAATTTTGCAGACAAACCAATAGAATATTCTCATATAATAAAATAAAATAATAAAAAATTGTTACTCTACCTTGTTTCTTTCATATTCAGGCCGGGAAATTTTGGCGCTGCCTTCATAAATCTGCGATATCCATCTGACTTAATTTTTACTCAATTTCATACTTCACATATAAAAAAATCATATTATAAATCATGCCTTTTCTTCTTAATAGAAAATAATTTACTGGTTAATTCAAAAACTCACGTGTATGAGACACGCTTTAAACTTGGAGGAAATTTAACTTCACAAAAAACGCATTTGGACAAAAAAATTAATACTACGCACGACCCCTAGAACTGAAAAATAAAAGTGGCTTATTGCTGCTAAATTGTAACTTGAGTTTCTACGTGGATATTTATTATAAGTCAAATTCGCAGATTCATTAATGTATTGTAACTATATAAAATCGTTTCTTTTTTTTGTTTTGGTAGAATATGTTTTTTTTTCTTCATATTATATATTAGATGGGAAACATAATTAAATTAATTTGCGTTTACTTTTTATTAATATTTATTTAATGTTTACATTACAATAAGTTGGTAAATTGTATATTTTTATTGATTTAAATAAATATTTTTATCGTTCGAAATCGACATTTTCAAATTAGTGAATGACGCAACTTAATTGTGCCTCAATTGGGCATATTTTTCAAAGATTCTGTTCATACACTTCATATTCTGTCAGCAATCCAGAAGTTTTTTTGGTTTTAATTAATATTCACCTATATTTCGGCGTTCTTACTTAAATCTTGATGACCATTCAGAACAAAGCGTTTAGGTATTAAAGTATCTACGCTATTTTTGAGCAACCTGTATAAGAGCCCTCGGGACCTTTTATTTCACCTTATTTCTAGAACATTTTGGAGTACCGCAAACTCAAAATAAAACGAGATGAAATACACCGTGCATTTTTAATCGCATCAAACGTCTACGTATGACCGCAAAAGTGCTCTCAAACCCACACGAGTTTCGATCTGAAGTGCGTTCACATGACCTCAATTATTCGCTCAAGGGTTCACACGAATTAATAACGATAGACGTTGTTTCTATTGTTTCGAAGAATGTAATTTTTCGAATCGCCCCGGTATTATGCGGGTATACACTTTTCAGATCGTTCCGGTTCAGAAAAATCCACTACGTCCTGGCAGCCACCGTACTGGTGGCTTTGGTGATATTTCTGATGCTGTACTTTTTGCTCAAACCAATCACGACGATAAGGGGAGCCGTGGTTACCAACGGTCGCGGTTGTTCCGCCATTGGGAAGTGAGTATGTCGGCGCCCGGTTTATTTGCTTAAGAATAATTTAATCTAAATTCGCAAAACGCAGAAAAAAATCGCGTATCGCAGATAAAACGAACCTCGAGATAGTAATTATGCGCTCCATCACACCGCAGATTGGGTTATCTAATAAAAGTAAACAAAAGGATACGTTAATTTTTGTTGTTGTCGTATTATTTGCCGACCTTTCGTTGGAATGCCGCCTTTAAACTTTATAATCAAATTAGATCTCGTCTGTTACATTTACGAGTTTTATTCAAAACGCCAGCAGATGTTGTTATGACGTTCGCGCATAAACAAAAGTCACAAAACACAGAACGATCATAGATCGACGAAAACTGGCGTCTGTTTCTTCTTCTTTTTTGCGCTGAGAGTCACACTTCGACGCGCGCGCTTGAACGACGAAGTCTTTTAAGACCATTTCTAATACGCAGTGATGGCATAATGTCCTTCGCTTCCTCTTTAACTTTTAAACCGTCTGGTATATTGCGATGAAATTTGTCATGCTATTGTATAAGACAATTCTTTATGTTGTCCATATTTCCATAAGTCGAATTTCCATAGTTTCGGTTAACATTTTTTTTTGGAATAGTGACGCTTTATTTTGAAAGCCACATCGATTTTCAACACATTTTCAAATGGCGACTAATAATTTATTTTTTGTTTTTTTAATTCTGCCACGTGACTTAGTTGCAAGCTACAATCATTAAGTTAGCAGAAAAAAGCAGAAATAAAAAGTAAATTTTATCTAAGACCTGGTAGAAACGATGCAATTTCTACATGTATTCTGCATATATTTTGAGCAGATATGTTGAATGTTTCTCAGCAACCACAGTTGTTTTCACAATCTGAACTTAATGATTTCGTGAGCGACTTAAGTTTACCTAAGGATCTTTCCGAAATTTTGGCAGCTAGACTTAAGATTACAGGTATAACAGGTTGCCGTATACAACACTTCGATAGTTAACTATCACAACAACCACAGTAGCACTAGATATGAATGAAATATGCGCCATGAAGATCATTAATACCAAAACGACTTATTTTATTTATCAATATTTGTTCAAAGTTACTCAAGAACAATTCAAGATCATCAACACTCACTTCTTGTGCACCCCACAAAATCGATCAAAGGAACAACATTCTCTAAATCTACGAAATCTAGACGCTTCACGTTGAAATCAGACCACACTGCCAGAGCTACACCTCCCCCTCTAGTTGTACCCGTTGCAACAAAATTCCGATCTTTTCTTAGAACAGTATAGGTATTTGGAAATAACTCACTACTATTCACACTCGACCTCAACCAGCTTTCAGTTATTGCTATAAAGTCGTAATCAGACGAAGACACCGAAGGGTAAAATTTCGAAACTTTAGTGTTCAACCCTCTTGCGTTTTGGTAGTACAGCAGAACATCATTATGTTTTCACATAATTTTAGGGACACCATTCACATAATTTAATTTGCTTTGGTATAATTTGGTATATAATATTTGTTTGACATAAAGATTGGCCGGCACAAGACGTTAAAATTTATAGGCTATTTTTAACAAAGCGTTTCGTTTGTTTGTTGTACCCATATTGAAGTTTGCACAATGGAAATATTCTTGCTTCTGTTGCTCATTCTGTGCAAATTGCAGAATCCTGTAAATCTGGAACTACGTCAGAATATACGAAGTACCCGTTTTTGTATGGGTGGCACAGTAGCAACAAAAAAGAACTGACCAAAAAGGGCGAATTTAATTCCTGGATCAAAGATGGAGCGTGTTTTATATAATAAAATGTCCAGCTCTCTCAGATGGAAAAATAAAACAAGGAACTTTTGTGGGTGCTTAAATAAGGCGATTAATGAACGCTCAAGATTTTTAGAATAATTTTTTTCTAGGAAACAACAAATATCCAAATTACAAATACATTGTAGAAAACATTTAGGGAAATTTAGGGAAATCGATTTTTGTTTAGTGTTGCTAACGTTTCGCTAATCATCCCGTTGGTTTCTTCAGAGCTTGACTGAAACTGGCTCGCATTTTACTCTGTACCTGCTCACACCGTCTCAGACAACTGATTTCCATAGATTACATGCAAGAATTTTAGTTTTATCGAATAAAATTTTATGTCCGGTTTCGTGATTATGTTCGCCAACTGCTGATGAGTTTATTTGTGTTCGTCTTAATGCTCTTTTATGTTCTTTGAGCCTAGTTGACATTTTTCGTCCTGTCTCGCCAACTGCTGAGAGATTTTTGGACAAGTGGTAAATCTGGTTTTGACGTAATATTTCTTTAGAACTTTTGATATGTTTCATTGCTATTGGAAGGCTGTGATGAAGTGTATTTTGTAATGGAACGCTTAATATCTTTAATGTGGAAATTATTAGAAAGGTATCGGTCTGTGTGCGTAGGTTTTCTGTAAACATAATGACCCAATGATAGGTCTGATTTTATATTGATAAGAATGGGAATGGGAGGTTGTTATTAGTTTCTATTTCAATAGTAAAACGTACGAGGTTAGCGCCATAATTTTCCTTTGTCTTCTTTTAAATATATATCTTAGTAGGCTGCGAGAAAAAAATTGAAGTCTTGAGTCAAATAGTTTTTTATTCACAGCATTTTAAACAAGACGTGTCCGAAAAAATGTCGCAAATAACGGAAATTGAGTATAGAGCAGTCATAAAGTTTTTAACAAAAGAATGGTTAGCACCTAAAATTATTAAAGAAAGGCTGGATGGTGTGTACGGCCAAAGATCTCTTTCGTATTCTGTAGTGAAAGAATGGGCAAAACGTTTTCGAATGGGGCAGAAGTCCCTTGAAGATGATTCAAGAACTGGTCGACCAGTGGAGGTCATAACGGAAGATATTGTTGCAATTGTGGAAGAGGTGCTATTGAGTGATCGACGTTTAAAGGTCAAGGAAATCTCAGAAATTACTAAGCTTTCTGATACAAGTGTTCGTCGAATCCTGCATGATCATTTAGGTATGCATAAGGTTAGTGCAAGATGGGTTCCTAAAAACCTTTCGGCTAATCAAAAACAACGCCTTGTCGAGTGTGCGCGGTCATTTTTGGAACTCTGTGGGTCGGAATCGAAGCCTGTGACAGGAGATGAAACTATGGTTCTCTATTATAACCCTCTATCGAAAAAAGAGTGGCGTCGTAAGGGTGAAGCAGCTCCAACGAAATTCAGCGTCTGCCAGTCAACAAAAAAGGAGATGGGTACGATCTTTTGGGATTTTAAAGAAATTCTCTTGATAGATTTTAACGAAACTAATACGGCTGTCAATGGTAAATATTACGCAACATTATTACATAAATTGCGAGACTGCATATGCGTAAAACGTCGAGGAAAACTGACCAGAGGCGTGCGTCTTTCGCACGATAATGCATCTGCCCATACTGCTGGTGTTGCACAAGCTGCCATTTTGGAGGGTGGGTTCCAACAGATAGTTTATCCTCCCTTTATTCCAGATATGGCCCCCAGCGACTATCATTAACGACGGAGTTGAGTTAAAAGAGGCTGTTTTAGCTCATTTTGCAGACAAACCAAAAGAATGCTTTTTTAAAGGGATTGAGTTGTTAATAAAGAGATGTAATAAGTGTATTGAAGTTAAGGGGGATTATATTGAAAATTAATAAAAAAAATGTTACTCTACTTTGTTTCTTTCAAATTCAGTCCGGGAAATTTTGGCGCTGCCCTCATATATTAGGGTGTATAGAGTTTAAATGTCTAAGAAAATCTACTAAGGATTCCAGACCATGAGGCCAAATAACAAAAGTAACATCGACCTAGCGTTTCCAAATTTTGGTTTGAGGATGACGTTATGGTCTCTACAAACGAAAAAACGAAAAGCTTGTTAATTTTTCAAAGAACCTTCCACGGGCTACTGTAATACTTTTTATAAAGCTTCTGGATTCCTCCTGAGTAAAATGCGAGGCAGTTTCAGTCAAGCTCTGAAGAAGACAACAGGATGATTGGCGAAACGTAAGCTAGTTTTATAAAAAGGACTTAACTATGGTTTAAGACTTTGTTATTTAATTTAGAATTTTGAATTCGGTTTTTGTGCTTATACTAATAAAAATGGTGTTTAAATAGACCTACATTTTCATTTTAAGGGTGATAAAAATCCTTCAGTATTCCTAATTGATACAGAATGAAATTTTAGATCCCGATAGCTTAAAAATTCTTTTTCTCAGCTCGATTCTGGACAGCGGCGGCTCCGTCGCGGACGCGGCCATCGCCGCCCTTTTCTGCGAAGGTGTTTCGATGCCCTTCAGCATGGGCCTCGGGGGCGGTTTCCTGCTGACCATCTACGACCGGCAGACGGGGCTCGTCGAATCGCTCGATGCGAGAGAAAAGGCACCCGCGGGGGCCCACGAGAACATGTTCAACGGAAGCGCTGAACTCTCACTAAGGGGAGGGCTCTCCGCAGCAGTCCCTGGGGAGTTGAGGGGCTACTGGGCATTGTACAAGAAGTACGGCTACCTGCCGTGGAGGGAACTGGTCGAGCCCACCATCCAGTTATGCAGGAACGGGATCTACGTCACCGCGTACTTGGCAAGGAATTATCGAGAGAAGAGAGACCTGATTTATGCGGACCCCGTGTTAAGGTGAGCCGCAGAGGGTCCACTTTCGAAAAAAAAAAAGCATTCAAAAGAACATAATTCTGATTTACGGTGATTTATAGTCACTTACCCAAGATTTACAATGTTTTATTAACGATTTAACGGAATTATCGTAATTATCATCATTTTTTAAAAATGGAATGTCCTATACATTATAAATTTAAATCGTAGATTTTTTTTTCTGATTTCAAAAACATATAGTCTATTGACATTTCATTTAGCCGTTTTTGTGATATTTCAATTTAAAAATAGTTATCATTCGATTTCTGGACAACAGCCATTTCGTTTAAAAATTGTCAAGTTTGCCTTGATAGCAACCGTATTATGTATGTTTGCAATTGTTTTAACAATGTTCTACGTCTGACAACTAATCAAAACTAAAGATCTACAGCTTAAGTTAAATAACTCAAGATATTTCCAATGGGTTATATTGAGGAAGAAAAAGGCCAAATAACAAAAATTAAATAAAAGAAAATGAGAATTTTCTACGCAAAATAATATTTCCGGATGAGGCTTTGTTCAACAAGCGAACGGATGATATCCCGGAATATAGTGTCATCACGCGATACTCCTTTGATCGGATCGTATATTGCAGAGACATTTTCTTCGATCCGGACACTAACGACACCTACGTCGAAGGTCAGTACGTGAAACGGCTGAGACTCGCCCGTACGTTGGAAGTAATCGCCAACGAAGGCGGAGACGCCCTGTACACCGGCTCGCTGGTCGAGAGTCTCGTCAAAGATATCGAGAGCAAAGGCGGCATCATAACCGTGGAGGACATGAAAAATTACACGTACGCTTTCGCGCAAAAACGTCTATTTTTGCCGATAAACCTAATAAAAGGTAATTTTAGACCGATCTGGCAAGAACCGATAACGACCCGTTTGAACGGTAATTACACGGTTCACACGACGCCGCTGCCCGGTTCCGGCGTGATTTTGACGTTTATCTTGAACATCCTAGACGGGTTCTTGAACGCGACGCAGCCGTATTCGACCGAGACGTTCCAAAGGATCGTGGAGAGCTTTAAGTTTGGTTACGGCAAAAGGACCGAGCTGGGCGACAGTCTCTTCGTCGAGGGTATCGAGGATGCAAGTTTTTTTTTTTTTTTTTTGGGCTTTGCCTACTAAACTAACAAGCGGGATATAAGTGTGTTTTCGATCTTTTTATTAGTACAAAGTAACAATTTAATAAAGCATCAGTCACTTTAAAAAATCATCACTATAGCTAATGTCGTCACCTTGTTTACCTAGTAGTTCAATATTTTCATCTTTTATTACTCGTTTTTCACAGTTAGACCAGCTTCGTACTGATATTTTAGCTACCTCTGGTCTATATTACGTTTATAGAGTCATCACTAAATTTTGGTGCAGTGTTATGTCTTCTTATATACGCTTTCAACTCAAACGGGTTAAATATAAACTGATAGCGGGGTAATTTCAACATTTCATGTCCTTTTTGGTTAGTTAGTTAGATTAATTTCTTCTTTATTTGAAGAAGTATTTGGATTTTTTCTAATTTGGTTTGGAAACGAAAATCCATTTTTTTCAAAAAAGCACGCAACGACTCTATGACACAACTAGTGTTTCAGTCTGTCAGTACTTTTTTATGCAGTTCTTGTAGGGTTCAAACACGAGGGGAACATCTGCTTCATTCCACGGTGTTAAAAAACACTAACCTTTAAAAATGTTTAATTTAAGATTCTAATAATTATTTATCTGAATTCTTATGTCGTACCTCTATCTGCCGCGAATATAGTATAGAACAATACGGAATTCATGGAATAGTTCTGAACTCGTTCAGATAGTTCTTAACAAATCATAGGCAGTATGTTCAGATAAGGCAGGAGAGGGGCAACTTGTGTCAAATTAAAAAAATTGTAGATAGAGGCTTACTGCCCTGTTTTATTTATCCTTTTTATCAATGAACTTTCTGCTCACCTCTGTAGTTTGGGTCTTTCTGTGAATGTCTGGTCCGGCGGAGAAGCCGTTGAAAATTTTTAGGACTAGAGCTCGACGAAACCCTATCTTGGGAAACTCAACGCCAATGCTTTCTTCAGAGCTGCATAGTTATTGTTTCCTAATAAAAAAATTAAAAACTGTTTTGAACTGGAGCAGTAGTAATGTAAACATTTTCAAATCCAAACCTTAAAAGAATATTTTACCTATTAATGTTTGTCATCACTGTATCGTTGTACTTTCTATTATTTAATTTTAATAATAAATAATAATAATGCGGCTCGAGTACTGTCAAAGCGACAGATGCACTATATTTTTGGTCGTAATATACTAGGCAATTTTCCTGCGCAACCCGTATAAACACTAACGAAAAATGATTCTTTAGCTCGTCGCAAACCTAACCTCGAAATCGTACGCCGATGAAATCCGCAAGCAAATATCAGACACCGCGACGTCTAACGACGCTTCGTATTACGGTGCGAAGACGACCCTCACCGAAGACCACGGTACAGCCCAGGTGTCCGTGCTCGCTCCCAATGGGGACGCCATTTCAGTTACCAGCACCATCAACCAAGTGTAAGTCGCCAAAAACAACGACATTAAAACATTAAGAAAACGACGCGAACTAAGAAAATGCCAATATTTAGCGATTGTTTGCGGCGAAAATTAGCCTTTAGATATTCTACTAATTCTGGTAACTTTGTTATGAGTAGAGATACAAAGTCGGTTCAATTACCAAACTGGTAGCAGTTCTTCCGCTGATTACGATGGTGAAAACAGAAAACCAGTTTACTGTCGGATTTAGAAAAAAATGAGGAAAACGTACTATTTTTAAATGGTACACCCTGTATATTTTTTAACCTAGTGGAATATGGAAGAAATACCTAAGGGCAGCTAAGGCCAACTTATTTTATAAATAATAATAAAACGTTTGCATAAAAACAAATTTTTTGGTATATTATCAATTCTTATCAAGCCGTTCTCTTTTGTTTTTATTGTCGCTAAAACATTCTTCTAAAAGTAAAAAACACACAATTGGCTGTGATACTTGTTTTGGCTGTCATATACGGGGTGTGTTCAAAAAGTAAGATGACTTTTGTAAATGGGCGGGCTAAGATGTTTTTTTGTTATGTTGGTATACATGTCTCTCATACATCTCGGACCCCTTCGTTACAAAAAAAAATAATTCTCAGAGTTTGCAAGGGGCTTTTAAAACGTACGTACTTATTACGTAAAATATGAGATTTTAATAGATTTCACATATTGTGAATCTTTTTGAAAATGTGCTTGTAAAAGTCAAGTTCGTTATTTTAACTTTTACAAGTTATAGAATTGTCAAAGCCTGGTTAAAGGTTGTACTAAAAGCTATTCTTTAGTACACTCCGAAGATGAGTCTTGCAGTTCTGTGGTGTTTATATCATTCTCAATAGTAAGTCCTCCAGTGGTGTCCCGGGGGACACCCCATCAAAGAGTATTTAAAAAAAAAACTTACTTCACTGATTTTAGACAAGTTTTAAATTCAACTATTTTATCTTTTGGTAAAAATAAAATGACCGTTGCACATGATTTTTGTTGTGATTTGGCGATATGTGTTAGGTTTTTTTTGTTTACTAAACCAGCTCTGAAAAAAAAACTTAAAAACATGAAACATTACATTAAAAAATATATCCATTTATTTATCTCTTATTAAATGTCTCCGGACCAGAAATTAATTAATTTTTTTCCAAATTAATTGCCTAATTTGGAAAAAAAAACTTGAAAAACAGCGGTATTTTTATATATTTTTTGCAGAGGTGCCCAACACATCACTGGATTCTATAATATTTACGTATTTACAACCAAATTAATATCTCACCCTTGAAGATAACAAAACATATCAACAAAAATTCACATTAAAAAAAAAACGATTTAAAAAACCTTTCAGTTCATTTAGTCCTTTCTGGCTGTGTATATACGTATTTTTTAATTTTCAACTTATAAAATATAAACAAACGTACGTTTTGTTTTATTATTCATTTTTTCAAAAATGCTGGTGTGCCGACGATTGTGTGCGATGGGCGAACGTCTCTGACTTATTGGCCCTGCATGCAGATAAAAAGAAGAATCAATTATGCCACGGTTTTGTTGTGTTGACTGAAACGGATTAATTTTTATAGTTTTGGCGCTGGGTTCGCATCGAACAGCACCGGCATAATCCTCAACGATGAAATGGACGATTTTTCGTCTCCGAGCGTCACCAATGGGTTCGGGATACCACCATCCGCCGCGAACTACATTAAACCCAACAAGCGACCCCTTTCCTCGATGGTACCGTCAATCATCTTGAAGGACAACGACGTGGTACTTGTCACGGGTGCCGCGGGCGGTACCAAAATCACCACCGTCGTCGCCCAAGTGATCGTCAAACACCTCTGGTTCGGTATCGACCTGAAAGACGCCATCGAAGAGAAGAGAATCCACCACCAACTCTTCCCGATGCAGATAGAATTGGAGGAGGGCTTCGATGACGCTGTAAGTGAAAGGGGGCGGAGCCAGTTTTCGTAGTACTTCATTTGTTTTTGTTAGTATCCCGACGTGGTTAGAGATTTGGTCTCGTTCGGTCATAATTTCACTCTAACCCCCACCACAAACGGGTTTTCCGCGTTGACGAGTATTTCGGCGAAGGACGGCAACATTGTAGCAGCGTTTGACAGCAGACGCGGCGGTTACGTCACGTACAACGTCGGGTAACGGCTCGGGTCCGCGATCGGAGGGAGACAATAAAAGATCTTATTTATTACGTAAATTATTGATTCTAGTTAAGGTTGCCTTTGTGACGGTACCGAAAAGTATCCAGGAAATCGTCGCCCAATGAAAAATTCATGATACAAAACTTTGGATCACGAAATTCGATATAAAATCGTTATCAATTTTAATAAGATCTTATGGACGATTTTTTTTTGTAGAAAATGACGATGTTTGAACCCCGTTAAAAGAATTGTTTTTAAACATCTTATAAGATTTTATACGGGGTGTTCGGAAATCGAGTTCGGAAACTTGGATGAAAGATTCAACGCGGTAAAATAATAGTAATAGTAATAATAATAATAATAATAAATAGTCTTTATTAGCATTACATGGGCGAAGTCTGGCATTACAACTACATATAAATTACAAGTATGTATGAAATTACAAAATAGAATGAATGATATACATGTATTGCAACGGATTATTTTACATTAAGTAATTGTTTTTTTAAATGTAAGCTAAAATTTTTACATGAACCAAGTAACTTTGATTTGATTCCGCTATTTAAGGAGTCGAACAAGCTTACAGCATTATATGCAAAAGAACATGGAATTTTTTTTGTTTTGTGCTATGGCATAGTGAGTGATGATTGGTGTATTAGATTCAAGACATGAATGGATTTCCTAAATTCTAATTTGTCATGTTGGAATTTATTACACGTTTCAACCAGCATAAAAGTTATATTTGAAAACGTCTTTGATTTTTAACCAATTGAATCTTGAAACTTGAATAAGATTGCTGTCAACGTATAATTTCATTTTGGACTTCAAACTTTTCCTCTTAGAGGCAAAAATAATGACACTACACTTTGATGGATTTAAACGTAAATTACGACCCTCCGCAAAGGTGGGTCCAAATCCTTGTTTAATCCTTGCTGTAATAAATCACTTAAACTTTTTTTTATTTTTTTATTCTCAATTTCAATATTCCTGATGGGCCATAACCGTAGCAGTCGTATAATATGCACTTTTAATACAAACTAATTTTCAACAACTTAAAACAAGAGTAACAATTTTTGAGGATTTGCGATTCTGCTTAAGACAATCTGTTCCATTTTACAATATCAGTCTAAATAAATAAAATATAGGGGAAAATAATAAAAAAGTACCCTCTACCCAAGGACTTCCGTAAAACATCATCGGAATATCTGACCGGACAGAAGGTGTTTCAGCTAAGGGACATCCTTAAGACGTCTCAAGGATATACGATGTTACTAATTGAAACGTCCACAGTATATCAGATAGGTATGTCTTTAGGATTCTTGTTAAATCATCCTAGGGATATCCAGATATACTAGTTGAGACGTCGTTAGTATATCCGACTGTGAGGATATATGATCTTATATAGATATACCACTACTATACTACTTAATTATTTCCAACGGCCTATGAGAAGTACTGGAAAGGTAATGTCCAGTAGTCCAATTAGTTGTAGGACTACAAAAATTCTATCCCAGCATTTGGTACTCGCGTGTGATGAAATTAACCTATTGGTGAAGTCATCACTTGAATAGCAGGCAGTTTTTTCCAATTAATCCTTAAGTTTGCTTTTGATGGTATAAGTGAAGGACTGCACATCTGATTTATTTCTATTTTAGATATGAAAAATTTTTAAGTAATCTAAAGTATTTAAAAAATAGAGTAAGATACTATATCTTGAACTAAATTCTAAAAGAATTATTAATATTTGACAGGCTTTCTAACATTTTTTGATGAAAGTAGCTTTTTTCAGCCAGCTATTGAATTATCACATTCTTTTGGTGTTTGTGATGTGTTTGCCTTCTTATCCGCACCTGAAAATATTTTAGTTTTGAGAAACAGGTTTTATGTATCTTTAGTTTATAAAAAAATAAATAAAAAGAATGAGACTGGTATCTTATATGTTTAAAGTTAGTTCTTCGGTAATAATAATACCACAAAAAAATAACTGAAATGAAAGCAAAGAAAATACTCAAAATATACGCCAAGTCGCCGTATACCTTATACCGCCAACAAAAACAAGGCTGGAAAGATGGCGGGCGACCAGACGGAGGAGAAGCCGACGAGACTCGAGCGAGTCCGACACGGCACGACCGCGAGTAGTTGCGTCATTGGATGCAGCCGAACCGTGTTGTCAAATGTGATCTGATAAACAAATATATTATTTTTACGTTTTTGTAATTTTTTCACTTAGATGAATGCGTATTTTCTGTGTATAATAAAAACAAGTTGATTTTAACGAGTTAAGGTTTTCTTCACATAATTAACGGTTTGACGGCTTTTTTAGGACTTGCCAATACTGACATCGATGTGGATGTGCACAAAAACGTGGCCAATAACATGTCTCCCAAAACACCACAAATCTAATAAAACTGAGTATTTTCCTTCTCAGTTGTTCAAAATTTCACTTTTTAGGTTTCTATTGCAAACTTTCCCATTATGGCCTTTTTGAACCATTCCTTCAAGTTTCCGAACTCAATTTCAGAACACCCTGTATAAAATAACGCGCTCTCGTGATAAATTGTAAGATGCGAAAACGCAATGCTCTGATTCTGCGAATTAGCGATGATGCCAAGTCTCACGAATTCCGCTTCCGCGTGGTTTCGAGATACCATCACTTTCGACGTTACCGGTTTCCGGGGTACCATCACACCCTGTACATAAATATATATATTATGAGAATCCGACGTCTTTTATTTTTGTCGCCGTGATTATCCTTCATTTGAAATTCAGTTCCTTATCGAAAACACCTCTGCAAATGCACATTCGTTTAAACGCGAAGCCCAAATACTTCAGATAACGATATCGTGTCGGTCGTAATGTATTCCCATCTAACCAACTAGACCTATTTGGTCGATGGGCCAAGTGAATACGCTGGAATATATATCACAGTGCCGTCGTCTTGTGTCAGAATTTTGGGAGGGATCGGCGTGTTAGTAGTAAGCATCAGCAGGTTCTGAGACACTATCTCCGTGCCAATACGTCACGCGCATACCATAATTGTTCAATCGATGAAAACCTTTCAAAATGTCAAGATGTCTCTGGTGAGTGTTTTGCGTGACGCATAGAGGTTTAGAAGTGCTATATATATATACATATATATATAAATATATATATATATATATATATATATATATATATATATATATATATATATATATATATATATATATATATATATATATATATATATATATATATATATATATATATATATATATATATATATATATATATATATATATATATATAAAATCATAGTACAAGAGTGGCGACATTCACAAATTGCACTCTTCCATGTAGCCATCATTTGGCGTAATCTTAAAAGAGGCGTTTCTTACAATTACTTCCCTTTTATTTCGAAATAAGTATTCAATAAGAGGTTAGACACGAAATTATTTTTAGATCCAAATTTATTTTAGTACCAGCATTTACAGCTTTACTAGCAACAAAAGATTAATATAATTGACAAAGAAAATTTTTAAAAAAGGAAATCATCCCGAAGAATTTCAGTCGAACGCTTTGCTATAGTCCAAGAGTATGAGACAGGAGTTTAATTTAGAATTTAGAAATGTTGCTGTGAAGAGGTCGAAAACTAGATTGAGTATCTGCGAGGAATTTGATATCGCATGGGAACTGACGAAGTTGTTTACCTGCAATTATCTATCTAGTTCTATAGTTCTGTACAATTCTGCTGTTTCTTTACAAAATTTCGCTGTTTAAATTGTCCCTGGAATGCATCGCAGCGCCATTAGCGAATCATGTTAAGAGTAATTTTTCAAAGAAAGTTCCGCAGGCTACTGTAATACATCTGGATTCCTCCTGCGTCGGTTTTTGCTGAGTCGAAATTGCTGACGTTTCGCCAATCATCCTGTTGGCTTCTTCAGTTTCAGTTTCAGTCAAACCGACGCAGGAGGAATCTAGAAATTTTGTAAAAAGCATGTTCAGAGTAATCTGTAACTTTACCCCCGCCCATGTTTCAGTCACCTGGAACAAATTCTTCGGTGGATAGGATGTTTTTCGGTTTCTACGAGTTTTTCTTATTATTTTCAAAAAATTATAATTTGTCGTTAATCTCTAGGTTATTTCGTAAGCTTGTCAACTCAAATATTCTCTGCGAGTCTGATAACAGATATTCCTGAAATAATGCAAAATGCGAAATTTGCAGCTATTTGAAAATTACCTCCCATAAGATGTACCCACATGAGATACTATGTCACGTTACTTTTTTAATTTATTTATATACCACTGACGATGTCATTTATAACTTGAAATTCCCTAAATTCAATTTCACGTTTGTAAGTCATACTTTCGCAGTGGCATAGGATATACAGACCGTTCTGGTGCCACTTCTTAAGCGGCTTAGTGCTGGGATTCGTGCTGGCATTCTTATTTACTACTCCGCTGACTAATAACTTCAGGTTACGGTAAGTAGCAACTCTATACGTCTTCCTTCGTGAAGTGAAGAGGCGACTTTCCAAGGTTCCAGCGTTCCCACGAGAATTTCATGCCAGTGGCGAACGTCGGATCTCACAACCAAACAGACTTCCTGCACGCCATGACCGATACGACGATCGCCGATAGCTTGTTCCATCGGGTCAGGGTACTGTGCTGGGTACTTACGACACCCAAGAACCACGAATCGAAAGCCAAACACGTGAAAGCCACTTGGGGCAAACGATGCAACAAACTGATATTTATGAGCACCCAAGAAGGTTCGGTTCAGTATAGTTGCGTTTAAAATAAAACCGATGAAATATTCGGGTATAATTCCGACTAAACTATACCACGGAATTAATTTGTCAAAGCCTGTGGAAGTGACAGGCTACTGTAATACTATTTACAAAACTTTTGGATTCCTCCTGCGTCGGTTTTTGCTTAGTCGAAATTGCTAACGTTTCGCCAATCATCCTGTTGGCTTCTTCAGAGCTTAAATTAAATGTCAATAATTGAAGAAAGCTTCATATGGACATACGTCCAGCAAGTTCGATTCAGCAACAACCGACGCAGCAGAAATTCAGAAGTTTTGTAAACAGAATACCACAGTGTTGACCGTTGGTGGGGCAACTGTACCGGTGTCTGTTGCAGACAAAGATTTGCCAGCCGTAGCGTTGCCGGTCATAGAAGACAGGAATAACTTGTGGGGCAAAACGAAAGAAGCCATGAGGTACGTGCACCAGCATTACTACGACAAAGCCGACTGGTTCTTCAAGGCGGACGATGACACGTAGGTTCGCGTATCACGTTAAACCTAAGCGGTACTTTAACAATGTTGCTAATTGTTGTTCGAAGATATGCCGTGATGGAGAACATGCGTCACATGCTCTATTTCCAAAACAGCACCGAAGCGATCTACTTCGGCTGTAAATTCAAACCGCTGGTGAGGCAAGGTTACATGAGCGGCGGAGCTGGATACGTGCTGAGCAAAGAGGCCTTAAGGCGCTTCGTAAAGGTAACAGCGAGCCTACCTCCGAACCTTTAAAACCTCAAGGGATCATCGCCCTCGCAGGAGGCGCTACCTGATCGGACCAAATGCAAGCAGGACAATACGGGCGCAGAGGATGCAGAAATGGGAAAATGTCTGGAGGCTGTCGGCGTCAGAGCTGGAGATTCCCGAGACCCTGATGGCAGGCACAGGTTCGTTCCCCTCTTCGTCCTTGATCTGCTGATACCTGGTTACAACGGACGGGATTTCTGGTACTGGGATTACTTGTACTATCCTCAGGAGGAGGTGAGCTGAGGTCTATCGCGTTTCCAGCTAGGAACGTCCGATTTTTAGGGCATGGAGTGCTGCTCCGACGCCCTCATTACCACTCATTACGTGTCTCCCAACAACATGTACCTGCTGGAGTATCTGTTGTACCACGCGAGACCATTTGGTGTCGCCTTCAATCCCAAGCTAGAGGAGGGAGCTCCTCCGGAGCGGGAATTTCGGGAAAAGCAATAAAGGTCGCGTTGAATGTGTCGTTTTATTTTTATATGATCTGCTAACACCTGTTACTTAATATCGCTAGCGCGGAAACATTTCCACAGCCCGTACCTCACCTCCCAATCTTCGAAAAACAGGGCGGGCTTGTTCCACAGCACGTGGTGCTGGGCGTAAGCGTAGCTGCCCTTGATCGGGGGGTTCAGGTGGGGCGCGAGCTCCGAACGCCTCTCCATGATCTTCGTGACGTAGTCGTAGAAGACCTACGTCAAATTAAATCCAGTAAAGAACCAAGTTATATGAGAAAACGATGTACGATAAAGTAACATAAAAATAATTTATAGATTTTCACAGTTTTTAATAATTTATGACAGCTTTGTTTTCGAAGCGCGAGCATTGAAGATGCCAAGTGAGATTTTGGCGAAACGTCTGCAGGATTCCAGTCGGAGTTCAACAAGCGAACGGATGATATCCCGGAATATAGTGTAATCACATTTTTCCATCCGTGAATCAATACGCAACTTTTCAATAAATAAAAAAGCTAAAAAGGACCGAGTGAATGCTAATTGGAAATTATAAGTTTCGTCACAAAACAAGTACGGCAGATAAAAAAGACATGATGGTGAAAAAAGAATCACTAGATTCTTACAAATTATACTTATTTCTTTTTATGGGCGCTAGTCATAGCATTACACGTGGCAATCTTCAAATAGAGCGGACATTACATAAAAATTAACATTGCAAAATTGCATTTAAATGATTTTATTGTTTTAAGCGAAAACCGGGCGTCGTACGAAAGCAAGTTCATGCACCAAATTTTCTCTAAATTGAATGGGGATTTTAAAAATAATTTTTGTTTTCAGAAAAAACAGTGGCGTGCCATTTTTTTCTTTAAAAATATTCAGTTCAAACCCCGTACGGACGCCACCGGTAATAATAAAAATAAAGCTTTGGTGTCAAAAACCCTCTTTCGATAACTTACCAAATTTGATAAAAATATCGAAAGTGATATAAAAGTTATAAAAGCAAAAACATTTTTTTTTTATTTGAAAAATATGCGTTTTTGGATCTATGCCTGGAATCGTTTTCCCGTATAACTTGCTTGCTGAACATTCTGAACTGGCTTTCGTTGCCCTCACCCCAGCCTTGTGGACGTAACAGACGAGCGACATCAGCGCCATGACGATGGCGTGGACGTGGTGATTGGCGATCATGTCGGAACCGCCGGTTACTCTGTCAAGCACGAATTCCTGCATGGCCATGGCGATGCATACTATGCTCGCGGCGGTGTATGCGCAGGGTACTTCCACGCAGATCACGGCCAACGTCGAATACATATTCTCCAAATTAACTCTGTTAGTTAAACAAACGTCCTGCTACAAGTAACTTCAAAGGCCACAAAACATCAACAACCCAGAGGATATCGACGTAAAACCGGGACAAATATAGTTAAATTTGAAAACCAGTGAAAATAGATATACCATAGTTTGTACTTTAGATGGCAAATTAATTGCTCACTTACGTGCCAATATAAAATATGGTGTGATTTTTATATCTTGCCAATTCTCTATATACATTTTCTGAATTTATTTTGTAGAGTTTGTATTTTATTAAAATAAGTTGGGCCACATGCACCACATATTGGAATTTATTACTCAAAAGACAGTGTGTATATTTTTTCAAATCAGAATTATTTTTTGAAAATCATTCTCACTTTCACCACTACAAAGTGGTACTGTATTGTCTGCATATGTGTAATACCGTGCTCTAAACCCAGCACACTGCAAATTTAAGACATATAACGATGACAACAATGGTCCCAGCACTGAACCCTTAGGAACGCCACATACGCTGGATTGCATTTCACTTTTAAAATTGTTTTGTATTATTTAAACATCGAACGCTTTCTTAAGATCAATAAATACTGCAACTTAAACACGCTTTGCATCTAAGTCGGACATTAATCGATTTACAAGATCCATTGTAGCCCACAGAGTACTGCTATTTTTTATGAATGGTATATTGATACCCATCAAGGCAGATATATTTCAGTTTCTATTACTTTTGAGGTTAAACTTATGGGTCTATAATGACTCGTATCATCCCTAAGTCCATTCTTACAGATAGAACAAATTTTACTAATTTTTAATTCTTCGGGAAATTCACCCGAAGAATGACATTGATTAATTTTTTGATAATAGTAAAGTCTGTTCATAGATATAAGAAAGTGACTAACTAATACGAATTAAGGAAAGACCCGGGCGAGCTGTAAGAATGAAATATGGCCGAACAGGTCCGTATTTTTCTTAGAATTTAATTATTTGTGGTTTTGTTAGGAAATATACTAAACAATATTTATTTATTTATGTATGTATTTATGTTTAAATCTAAAATAAAATTACAAATAATTATTATTTGTTCTATATTATTTGCAATGTGTATATACGATTCTACTGCCCTTTCTAGGTGTTTAACAGAATTTGCCCTACTTTTTGGGGGGATGTTAAAAACTTCGGTTTCTATAAGTTTGAGAACATTGGAGTTAAGACGGGGAAAAATATTGTTACGATGAATGGCAGATTTCAGTTGGTGCCAAACATGTTCAATGGAATTAAATATACAGTGGAAGCCTTAAAACTTTATGCCCTACATTTTTTAAAATAATTAGCACAGACGTATTCCTGTTGTAGGTTCAAGCTTTGTAGAACCTCAATTAATTGCTTTTTGATATGATCTTCGTGAAAATAAATGTCGTTATTATACATATAGTTTTGGATTGTTGCTTTTGTGTCACATGAGGAAGGGGTTTTAGTCAACTGTCTACTGTGATAACTTGCATCGTCCATGTTTAAAACTAGTTTGTTTTTAAACCAACTTTCAAATAAATCAGCGGTGGTGTCTTCATGGCAATCCAGAGGAGAATCATTGATATTTTTCGCAGACAGAGAAAGTCCATTTGGAATCCAACCATGTTTAGAGCCAGCATGCAAAATAGTTATTGTTTTACCTCTTTTTGATGTCGCATTTGTTTTACATTTATCAGTTGAGTCAACCCAACCCTTTTCCGGGGTATCATAAGTGTCGAACCAGGTTTCATCCAAGTAAATAAAACTTGCCTTTTGTCGATTTTTTTAAATTTAAAACCCACGTGTTGAATACACTTCCATAAGTTAGTTTAACACCGGTTTCATCTTTTTCAAGCCTCCTTATTAAGATATCTAATGCAGGCACGCTTTGTTCCTCGTATAACTGGTAAATTTTACGCCGTATTATATCTTGATCACTTTTATCTACACTCGAGAAAATGTCAGCATCGCTTTTTTTTTCCTCGGTGAAATGAGATTATTCACAATTTTTCTCCTGAAATACACTAGACTCGCACATATTTTGCGTAATTCGCACACGATTCAACACACGCTGTATTACACACGAAATAAGAATGATTAATAATAAACTTAAACTAAGTAGTATACGAAAAAAAAGAATATTAAACACAGGTAGGTATAAAATTATTTTCTATTATGGACCACAATTTTACCTGAATTTAAATTCCGAAACTTTAGGTAATAATCTTGTTGCATTGTATGTTAATGAGCACCCTTCAAAAGTAATTGGTCACTTTCTTATATCTATGAAGAGACATTACCAATTTCAGTTAGATTCCCGTCGACCTTAAAATTGCAGATACGAACTTCAAACCGATGTTATCTGCAGGTCTGTTGCCATTTTCAAAACGCTGAAGAAGAAAAACCAACCATTTGCCCCAGAATGAGGGCTTTTAAGTTCATATCCGCAGGCATAATAATATTCGGTAAAGTAATTGGCGAAAAAGCCGATTTTGATTGAAATCTAATCAGAATATACAAGAAAAGGCAAAGATTTGCAAAGGCAAATATATCTGCAGGCTTAATGCTGCTTTGGTATTAATACTTGTCAGAAGAGTCGGTTCTGACTGCCATCTGCTCAAGATATAAAAGAAAAACCAATCATTTATCCCAGAAAGATAAGAAAAATAATGACAAAATATTTATGCACTGCGTACGGAGGATGTCCAATTATAGTTATAGAACAAAAAAGGAAACAAGTGCGGATGACTCACTTGTGGGTATAATGGTTCGCGAGGGATACCATGAGAGCGTTGTGGATCGCGCCTCTATATCTCTTGAAGTAGATTTTGTCGCGAACGTTGAACCTCGACACGTTGATGTCATAAGAGACGTTCTTGTAATAAATCCTACGAAAAAGACTAAATAAGCACTAACATCTCGCTGAAAGGATAGAAAAAACGTTTTAACCCATTAACGCCCATCGTCCTCACTCGAAGACAGCCGATATTTATTTATTCTGGTTGCTTTATAGTTAGATTTCATGAATATGATACGAAAGAAATAAAATTATAAAAAATGTTTAGTGAATAGCCCATCATACAGTAGGTATATTATATATTAAACATACTTAGCTAAATGGCTAAGAAAAGTTTATTAGCATATAATATTTATTTAATTCTTGAACAAATTTAAATTAAAAGCTAATTTTAAACATTGCTCGAAAGCTATCTACATAACCTTATATTTTTTGATTTTTTATATGGATAAAAAACAGAAGTAAGAACTCATTTAAATCTCTTTAAATGATTTTTAAGTGAAAATTATATAAATATCTTCGATAATATAAATGTAAACATACTTTATAATGCAAATCCATATGTACTGACCGTCTTTGGGGCAGATAACAGAGACATTCTATTACCGGATCTGGTACTAGGCATATTTTACGTTTTCTTTTAAGGGTTTTTAAAGAAAAAAACACAAAATAAGTGACGATATCGACCACAAAACATATACACAAAGATCGGCGAGCTGACTAACAATGCAGCCCGCAGCCAGATTGACATTTGTCCCACATTACCCTAACCTACGAATTATTGAACGAATCGCTTTGTGGTTTCTGTTGTTTAGGTTCTAAGACGGCAATACTACACTACTACTAATCTCTACTCTTATTTTAGAGGGTATGCTGGCATAAGTAGATGTATAAAGAGAGTTCAGACCAATATAACCTTAACGAAAAAGGTCAGACGGACGTACGTGGCAACGTAATACGTATTTTTGTTTAGGTTATGTTCGTCTGAACTCTGGTTACGCATCTACTAGCATACCTGACGTTCTCGAACTCGAACAGGTTATGATGGCGGTCCATCAAGTTCTGCAAGACCCGGGACCCGAAGAGGTTGTGGTAGATATTCTCGGCCGAGATCAGCGTCAACAGATTGATCAGCAGCTCATCCGGGAAGCAGACTTGGAACGAATGCGTGACGTAACGCGAGGCCGCGTACTCACCGATGTTGCCCAGCTCGAGCAAAATTTCGTTCTCCATGATTTCGCTCATGGCTATTTTTTTGATTATTATCGTTAACTGGAAATTTAGACAAAGACATCTTATAAATTTTCGGTCTTTTGCTGGTGTACCAGCAGCATGAGATCCTTGTTGTTCAAGTTTCTCGTGATGTTTCTCAGACATATGTTCAAACCGCGTCGCATAGAAGCGTAATGGTACAATTCCCCCGGGTCAGCGATGACGCTCTTCCTGAGCATCACCAGGAATCGTTTCAGCATCGTTTCGCTCATGTGACTCCAGCGTATCTTTGCGAGAGTCTCGTAGAGCACCTTGATCAGCATCTGCGTGTCGAGGTGAGACGTCAGTGAAGCCTCCTCCGCCGATGCTGCAACGTCACCATCACACGAATAACTGGTTAACTGAAGCGTCGAAGCCGTGGTTTACTGATCATATCCTCAAGAGCTTCCTCGACGTCCTCGTAACGATAGAGCAGGTCGCAGATGAGATCGGTGAGCGCGAACTCGATGGTCCACAGCTTTCCCTCCTTGTAGAAAACGATCATCGAATTGAGGATGATTCGGTGCATGGCTTTGGGGAGTTTCTTAATCAGCCTGCCGTACACCTCCATGCATTCTTGGGCTTTGCGTCTGCGGGCTCGAAATGAAGATGAATATCCAAGCGAATATCCTCGTTTACCTTCTGGTCCAAGTTATTAAAGCATTGGTGCCGGTCCTGAATCTAAGCTGGAAGTGATGGATACAGCTCATAATTGACCAGGTTAGGTGGACAACGTGTACGGTGTCAATGTAAGAAACGTCGGCTCTCTCTATCACGTCCTTGATCATGTCGACGGCTGTGGGACAAGCGTCAAGCGCATTAACACCAGTCTTTCCAAGCGTAAGCGCGATTTTCGGCCCTGCTTAAACATGGCAGGACGAACTGTCACAGCTGTCACTCTGAATTTAACAACAAAAGTAAAGTCCTGTTTAAGTCTCCTTTATTGATGGGGACTAGAACTCTGATGGTGTTCTTTCAGAATCCAGCAATGTGCTTTCTGGGATATCCCAAGGCTCTTGGTTCTCTATTTTTTGAAATCAGAGCTTCTTAAACGTACTTCCTCAGGAGATGTGCAAGCTTTTGCTGATCACACACAGCTTTATAGCATCTGGGGGTAGATGGATCTTTAAGATTTTGAAAAAGCTTTTGACAAGGTTCGTCATGTGACTATAATATTAAAACCAAGTCAGATTTCCTTATCTCTTATCTGGGATGCCACACAGTACAAGAACAAAATATTAAGCATTTAAATTTCGAAAATCGAACGATAATTATTTTTAAACTGAAATATCTCAAAAGCGACTAAATAATAAACTATATGTATTTGAAATGAGGAAAAAAAGAGATCTACGATTTAAGCTAATATATAGGACATTCAATTTAAAAAATTATGTAGTTTTTATTTTGAAAGCTTGCGATCGTCGTTTGTTTTTTCTCACATTTGCATAAGATAATAGAGCAAAAACCTTTTAACCTTTGTATTTACATTTATTCACAATTATTCCTGTAGGTGGGTGTCAAAATATAATGAAAAACACTGTGCATGAGAATATACAGGAAAAGTAGTGTCTGAAAATGATCGTAGCTTGAGAATGTTATAGTGGCTCAAAAGCCTCCAAAAAGTACTAAACCGCTGTATAAGGGTTTGATCACGTCTCTCGTTCATATTCAAATTCAAACTGGTTTAGACTGGATACTCCATTACAGTTGCATTTATGTACATTTGTCTTTAAAATTGACCGTTCACAACAGCCCTCGTATTCATTTGATAAGCGAGTCAGTTAGTGTTCAAAGATTGCTTCAGATCTGCTTTACAAAACTGTATACCTGCATTTTTGTTCTGTATATTATTAAATGATTTTGGACGCAATATTTTTCTGCCAATATGCATTTCATGTCACTGGTAAGATCATACTGTTTACGCTAGTTACTTCTTATCTTTGTTCCTAACTTCTTATTTTATCGATGGCAATGTTCGGGATATATGTTTTTTTCTTTTTTTTTTCTTTGTAATCCTATTGTGTTAGTAACTGTACTGAGTGGTTAGATACTAGTGTAGCTGCAAGCTAGACTTCGTCGCCCCAGTTATACTTTTTTTTATGTATTGGCTTCAATAAGAAAAATAAAGGCATGATTATTATTATTGTTATTACTATTAATTTAATAATAATAATAATAATAACGCAACCTTTTTTCTCAGGTAGTTAGTATTGAACTTTACGGTAAAGGCAATATTGCTGCATCCAGGTTGTGTCAAAAAATGTTCTGCTAATTTCTGCTACTTCAAATTTTGGGAAATAAAAAAAAACTAATTTTTGGGACTAATTTTCATCTTCTAGAGGAGGCCCCAAACTAACATAATTTTTAAATAATCTATCTCCCTTTAAAATTAGATAACCCAGTAAAAATTCGCTATACCAGCGGCTTTAAAAAAATTGCGATTTTGATTTTGTCCATTAATTTTAATGTAAACATTAAATAAATATTAATACAAAAAAACACTTATATTCAAGGAATACTAAGTTAAAAAAACAGCCATCCTTGATCATAACGCAGATTATTTTAACTACATTTACATATATATACATATAATAAAACAAAAGAAATGAGTTTGTATAGTTACAATACATTAATGAATCTGTGAATCTGACTTATAGTAAATAGCCACTTAGAAACTTAAGTTACAATTCAGTACCAATAAGCACTTAAATAATTTTTTTTTAAATGATTTTAATTTTATTATATTTTTCAGTTTTAGAGGTAGTACGTTATACATTTTTTGACCAGGATAAAATTAATTTTTTTGTCCAACATATAAATGCATCTTTTGTAAAATTTAATGTTCTCCAAGTTTAAAGCGTGTTTCATGCTCGTGGGTTTTTGAATTAACCAGTAAGTTATATAAAATTCTTTTTTGAATTACTTAAAATTGCTGAAGAGTTTTGTGATAGTCAGCACCCAACCAATTGTTCCATAAGATATAAGTGATTGTATTAGTAAAAAATAAATAGAAAGAAGTAATTGCTTATCAGAAATTTTATTAAGTTTCCGGAACAAATACTGTTCGATATGGAAGTTCCACTTTAGATTTGAGTCAATATGAATTCCTAGGCAAGTAAAATGCTCAGCTCTACGTAAACAGCAGCAAATATTTTTAGGCAATAGTTTTATAGTAAGTTTATTGTTTGTAGGTAGTCGACCATTACAATCTGAAAAGGGCAAATATTGTGTTTTATCTATGTTGATTGTTGGTAAAATATTGTCAAGCCACTGTGACATAAGTTGCAATTCCGAACTAATGCGGTTCTCGACTTCGTCCCAACAAACAAAACTGTATCATCAACAAAGGAGATGATTTTTCCGGAAGCATCAACAGTAAGTAGTTGATTTATGTATATAAGGAAAAATATGGGTCCTAGCACTGTACCCTGTGGCATTCCATAGGTTACAGTTCTCGGCTTACTGAAACTGTTATTAATCTTTACCATTTGTTGTCGATTTTTCAGGTAACTTTCAATTAGTAAGTGAGCCTCTTATACCGGCTGAATATAGTTTTGTCAAAAGCCGCTAGCGGCTTACACTGCAGGACATGGTTGATTGATTGATTTATTACCCTTTGATCTCTTGGTATGTAGTTCGTGTGAGTCTTTGATTTGTTTCAAGCAGTAGTTATAGATTTCCTTCGCGGTCAGCTCGAAATCGGCAAAAGTCATTTTGGTGGTGAGCTTGAGGATCTTCCTGACCTTGACCTTCAGCCTGCTAGGTTTTCTTACGTGAGTTTCAACGTCGGATATCCGAAAATGATCTGAAACGAGGGGCGTTCGGTTCGCACGGTGCTTTGAACTACAAAGTTTTATTTACATAGTTCTTCGGCTGTGTCATCTTCTTGGTCGGGTCTGCTCAACTCTTGACCGGCTAGTTCAATGGCGTCTTGGTTAGAGTCCGGCATTTTACAAGACGTGGCTCCCTAACAAAACCGTCGACCTAAGTTTAAAGATAAAGCCTACGAAACGTCAGATTGATGACACTGAATGTGACATTTTCGATGCTAAAAAAATATATAAGGATCGCCTAAATATATATATATATATATATATATATATATATATATATATATATATATATATATATACATATATATATATATATATATATATATATATATATATATATATATATATATATATATATATATATATATATATATATATATATATATATATATATATATATATATATATATATATATATATATATATATATATATATATATATATATATATATATATATATATGACTGACTCGCTTATCAAATGAATACGAGGGCTGTTGTGAACGGTCAATTTTAAAGACAAATGTACATAAATGCAACTGTAATGGAGTATCCAGCCTAAACCAATTTGAATTTGAATATGAACGAGAGACGTGATCAAAACCTTATACAGCGGTTTTGTACTTTTTGGAGGCTTTTGGGCCACTATAACATTCTGAAGCTACGATCATTTTCAGACACTATTTTTCCTGTATATTCTCGTGCACAGTGTTTTTCATTAAATTTTGACACCCACCTACAGGGATAATTGTGAATAAATGTAAATACAAAAGTTAAAAGGTTTTTGCTCTATTATCTTATGAAAATGTGAGAAAAAACAAACGACGATCGCAAGCTTTCAAAATAAAAGCTACATAATTTTTTTAAATTGAATGCCCTATATATTAGCTTAAATCGTAGATCTCTTTTTTTCCTGATTTCAAATACATATAGTTTATTATTTAGTTGCTTTTGAGATATTTCAGTTTAAAAATAATTATCGTTCGATTTTCGAAATTGAAATGCTTAATATTTTGTTCTTGTACTGTGTGGTATCCCAGATAAGAGATAAGGAAAACTGACTTGGTTTTAATATTATAGTCACATGACGAACCTTGTCAAAAGCTTTTTCAAAATCTTAAAGATCCATTTACCCCCAGATGCTATAAAGCTGTGTGTGATCAGCAAAAGCTTGCACATCTCCTGAGGTAGTACGTTTAAGAAGCTCTGATTTCAAAAAATAGAGAACCAAGAGCCTTGGGATATCCCAGAAAGCACATTGCTGGGCTCTGAAAGAACACCATCAGAGTTCTGGTCCCCATCAATAAAGGAGACTTAAACAGGACTTTACTTTTGTTGTTAAATTCAGAGTGACAGCTGTGACAGTTCGTCCTGCCATGTTTAAGCAGGGCCGGATCGAAAATCGCGCTTACGCTTGAAAAGACTGGTGTTAATGCGCTTGACGCTTGTCCTACAGCCGTCGACATGATCAAGGACGTGATAGAGAGAGCCGACGTTTCTTACATTGACACCGTACACGTTGTCCACCTAACCTGGTCAATTATGAGCTGCATCCATCACTTCCAGCTTAGATTCAGGACCGGCACCAATGCTTTAATAACTTGGACCAGAAGGTAAACGAGGATATTCGCTTGGATATTCATCTACATTTCGAGCCCGCAGACGCAAAGCCCAAGAATGCATGGTGGTGTACGGCAGGCTGATTTAGAAACTCCCCAAAGCCATGCACCGAATCATCCTCAATTCGATGATCGTTTTCCACAAGGAGGGAAAGCTGTGGACCATCGAGTTCGCGCTCACCGATCTCATCTGCGACCTGCTCTATCGTTACGAGGACGTCGAGGAAGCTCTTGAGGATATGATCAGTAAACCACGGCGTCGACGCTTCAGTTAACCAGTTATTCGTGTGATGGTGACGTTGCAGCATCGGCGGAGGAGGCTTCACTGACGTCTCACCTCGACACGCAGATGCTGATCAAGGTGCTCTACGAGACTCTCGCAAAGATACGCTGGAGTCACATGAGCGAAACGATGCTGAAGCGATTCCTGGTGATGCTCAGGAAGAGCGTCATCGCTGACCCGGGGGAATTGTACCATTACGCTTCTATGCGACGCGGTTTGAACATATGTGCACTTCAGCCCATAGTGGGAAAGGCAAAGGCAGATTAATATGTTAAAAACTCAGAACATTTCACTCAGATTTTAGGTTCTCTCAGGATGGACAAGGACGATATTATGGCAAGTTTCGATGTCGAATCCCTCTACCCGAGCATTCCAGTAGAAGAGGCACTCTTGCTTATAGAACAAAACGAAGATCTTCCGCCGTACATAACAGATCTGTCAAGACATTGCCTGAAAAACGCTTACACACAAGTAGATGGAGCAGCAATGGGATCATCTTTCTCAACTGTGATTGCCAACCTCAGCAAGCAATAGAGAAGGCAAATCTGAAGCCAAAACTATGGACAAGATACGTTGATGACGTATTTGTTGTATGGCCTTTTGGTTAGTTGAAAAAAGCTGACCTTTGACGAAGCCAACAGAAGATTTGTAAATTGTATTACAGTATGCCGTGGAGGTATTGTCCGAAAAGTTATAATTACATTGTTCGCGTTCTTTCAAGTTGATAACATCAATAAAATAAGTTCATGTTCTATAATAATTCAGGGTATTCTTCATCGCAATACCTCCACGATGGTGTCTTAAATGTACTACGAAATTACGAATTACCCACCTGTTTGGGTGGTAAGTCGTTTTTTCCGAATTGATGAGAAAATAAAATTGCTGGAAGAACTCCAGACTATACCAGAAAGTGCTCTCGAGCATTGGAAAAAGACGTTGTCAAACCCGGTTGTTGATACTTTTCAAAGTGAATCTGAGGGTTGAGAGAAAGAAAACTGCAATCTTTGGTCATAATTATGACAGGAAATAATTAGCTGATTTGTGTGATCCAGGAGCACAAAATTGGCAAATAAAGTACCCGATACCCTGGAATTCGATTCCGAACGTCGCTATTCAAGGTGCAAGCCTTCACCGTGCCGTCATCGACATTTTGGACCATCATATAGAATTTGAGGTAGTCAGCAAATAATAGGGATTGTTTGAGGACTATAGACAATCAGCAGGAAATTACCCTAACCTTATAACAATATTATTATTTTGGCATTACACCGCCGCGACGCAAAAATAAGCCCAAACAGGTGCGTCGGTTTTTCCGACGGCGACGCGGGCCGCAGGAAACCGCGACGCCTGCTGACGCGTCCTGCTGACTCAGTCGTCCGCCGCCACGTAACGCACGCGGTCGAGTTCCGGACGGACGGCGGGCGTCGCGACGAGCGTCGAACTACTTGTTGCGGGCCGAGTTGAGAGCGAATTGTTTTTAAAAAAAATTTCCTGGTAGGGGAGGCGAAGCGCTGCGGTAATCTTCGCCTGGAGAGGCGGTAAGTGGTAGATAATTTTTTTTATATAAATTATTTTTTTTTGTAATATAGTTGATGAAACTTTGCGACTTTATTTTTTGACTTAAAAAAAAGTAAAAAAGAAAAATATGCGCTAAAGATGGTTTTATTCCAAATGGGCTTTCTCTGTCTGCGAAAAAATTAAAGATTCTTCTCTAGATTACCATAAAGACACCATCGCTGATTTATTTGAAAGTTGGTTTAAAACCAAACTGGTTCCAAACATTGCAACAATGCAAGTTATCAGAGTAGGCAGTTGACTAAAACCCCCTCCTCGTGTGACACAAAAGCAACAATCCAAAACTACATGTGCAATAACGACATTTATTTTCATGAAGATTATACCAAAAAGCAATTAATTAAGGTTCTACAAAGCTTGAACTTACAAAAGGAATACGTCTGTGATAATTATGCAAAAAATCTAGGGCATACAGTTAAGGCTTCCACCTTACCACTGTGTATATTTAATCCCATTGAACATGTTTGGCACCAACTGAAATCTGCCATATGTTTTCCCCGTGTTAACTCCAATGTCCTCAAACTTATAGAAACCGAAGTTTTTAACATCCCTCCACAAAGTTGGGCAAGTTCTGTTAAACATATAGAAAAAGCAGAACAATCGTATATCAATATTGCAAATAATATAGAACAAATAACAATTAGAACAGGCGATGATAGCGATAGTGATACTGATATATTATGTGAATAATTTTAAGTAATTTAAGTAGGTAATAAAAATGATTTGTAATTTTATTTTAGATTTAAACATAAATACATACATAAATTAATAAATTTTGTTCGTTACTTTCAATATAACACTTTATCATGTTTGACTTTTCAAAGTGTTCAAACATTTTGATAGCTGGACGAAGACGCCACTTTTAACACGTGGGCTTGTGTATCATGGAAATTGTTTTCATCTGATCATATCTACCTAGATAGATACCGAAAAACCGCATAGGTCAGAGTTAAGCACAGCCTACTATGGCAATTATTAAAAATTGCAGATATCTTTTTAACTATTTAATTGAAATAGGCGTAGAGTACATCGTTTGACAAGAAATTTTATTAGAAAACTATTTTTTGAAAAAAAATCACGGTATTCCATTAAAAAAAATGTAATTTTAATTATATCTCGTGCAGTAAAGGCTTTAAGATAAAATCGGCGAAACAGGTAAATTTTCCCTTAAAAAACCTTTAAAAAATGTTTTTAATAAAAATATCTATCTTTACAAATCAAAAAAGTATAGTGGGTTTTTAGAAACGCACATTTTTAAGGTTCACCCTGTAGCTCAGAAACGCTATGACATATCACGATCGTTTTACTTATCGACTTCTCTTGAAAATCGGGCAAGTAACATGCATATTAGTTTTGGGCTAACTATGCTGCAAATGCTTAAAGCCATAGAGACCCCTCGGGTTTGAACCACCGTGTACATAAAGTTCTTTAGATGGTTGCTTTTAGTTTGTTAGACCGCAATTGCGACTGATAAAAATATCAAATCTCGAAAGCCAAATAACAGCCTCTTTTGCGGCTCAACTGAAAGGAAAATTAGATTCGTCCCTGTCTGAAAAATCGGGTAGGTTTATGGAAACGATTCGATGCGTAAGCTTTTTGGCGGGGATCTCGTATGAAACCCAAATCCAATTTTGGGGTTGGAACATTCCGCGTACTGTCGCCGTCGATAGTGAATGTTTGTACGAGTGAGCCCACATAATAGGAAAAA